GTGAGGAAGATCAGCCCTGAGCTAACATCCGTGCTAATCCTCCTCTTTTCGCTGAGGAAGACCGGCTCTGAGCTAACATCTATTGTCAATCCTCCTCCTTTTTTTTGTCCCCCCCAAAGCCCCAGTAGATAGTTGTATGTCATAGTTGCACATCCTTCTAGCTGCTGTATGTGGGACACTGCCTCACCATGGCCGGAGAAGCGGTGCTGCGGGACCCTGAGCCAGCAGTAGCAGAGCGCACGCACATAACCGCTAAGCTAGGGGCCGGCCTGGAAAAGCTTTTAACATGATTGCCACCAGAAATTTCCTTCTTCCATTTGGATCCACATATTCTCGTCGGGTATTTTTCCATCTAAGACGTCGTTAAAACAAAACACTGACAGAATCAAACCTAAAAATCGTCACAAGGTGATAATCCAAGGTTTTTAAAAATGAGGCCTAACACAACAGATATTAGCTTGCAGCAAATCTTCCTCAGCCAAAAAAAAAAAAAAAGAGGCCTAACAACTGGATGGATTTACTGAAAATCACTGTTCACTTAAAATGGGTGAATTTCATAATATGTAAACTACACCTCAAAGTTGTTTATAAGGCATATCTAATCGCGTTGTTCTCTACAAATATTCATTTTACCATATAATTGATAACACTACCCTGTTTAGTTGTAATTAACAGCTAAGCATTTCATGGCTTATTCCTTCTCTCATCCGTCATATTTTTCACTTTGCTTATTTTCATAATGTACATAATTATTAAGGTACCTAACCATTTGGATGGTGGGCTCAAGTTGTTTACTGATAAAGGCCGCCGATCAAAACTGCTTAAAGACTGCTGTTCTGGAGACCACCCCAAGCCCGGAGACCTAACGATTCTCTCCAAAGGGCCCGTGCGCCCCTCGGCCAGTCGCCCCGAAAACGAGCGCTCGACGTGTCTTGGTTTGACTCTGGACATTCCTGCCCTTCGCTCTCAGCCCTCTGCACGCACTACACGGCCTGGCCCGCTCGGCAGCTTCCTCATTCCAGCTCCCTTACTCCCCCAGCCGCCCCAACACCGCTGTCCCAGGCCTCCGCGGCCGCAACCCGGGCGGGAGAGGGCGAGGCCAAGAGCGCCAGACAGCGCCCAAGGCTGCAATCACCAGGAAGGGTAAAAGGGCTCCAAGGCCGCGCGGCCTGCGCAGGCGCACTAGCAATGCGCCGCGTTCCTGCAAGGGTCAAGGCCTCCACTAAGGCGCGGTCTTACGGGAACGAGAGGCTGGACCGCGAGCGGGCAGTCACAGGCCGCAAGGAGGGGGAAGGAGGAGCAGGCGGGGCGGCCCACGGCCTGCCCAGGCACCCGCGACTGCGCCGCAGCGCCCACGCCGCGGAGCCCGCCCTCGCGCCAGACTCGCGGGGCGGTGCGTGCGCACAC